GATCCATGCTTGAAGGAAATTGGCCTTCGAAGTTTGTTACAATCATTGTATGGTGGACAGATTATAGACTTAGATGATGGATCCACCCTTACTGCTACTACTCATTATTTAGCTATTAGAAATTATTTTCAAACCTTATATGATGAGTATGCAGCTAGATATGGTGTAGCTACACAACAGTCTTCAGCTTCGGCACCTTCAGCTTCGAGCACAGGTCGAGGTAAAAGTGTAAGTTTTGATAGGTATGCAATGGTAGCTGAACTAACTGGTGGATCTGGAACTTCATCAGGATTAGATGTTTCTGAAATAGATGAATATTTTTCTGCTTCTTTAGTTAGATGTCAAGGAAATGCTTTAGATATTTTGCAATGGTGGAAAGTATATGGATCAGTTTCATATCCTATACTTTCCACCATGGTTCGTGACTTACTATCAGTGCAGGTTTCGACTGTAGCCTCGGAATCCGCTTTCAGCACAGCAGGACGTTTGATCGACGACCACAGGACATGCTTAGATCCGTATACTGTACAAGCGGTGATGTGCTTACAGGATTGGTGGAGATACGAGAAGCGAACACAAGGCATCGAACGGATTGCTATGATTGAAGATAAATTTGAAGAGTTGGGACTAGCAGATAGATATAATGATTAGATAATATTCATAAAATTGTAATTTTTATTTCTTAGCTTTAAATTTAAATTAAATTATTTCGAAAAAAGTTGCAAATGATAGTGATATGGGTGAGTAGGTGCCAACCTAGTTGGGATGTACTCATCTATTGTGATGCGACGAATTTCGAAATAAATTTATACTTGTAAAGGATTTGTAAAGGATTTACCGATTATTAATAAAGAAGTTATTTTTATCATTTTTTGTACTTGTAATTTATGTCATTTCATTTCAAGCTATTAATTAAATTTATGACATTTTTTATAATAATTTATGGTTTATGGTTTTGTTAAAATTTAAAAAAAAAATTCTAAAAAAAAAATCAAACCGGGCCGGCCCGGTGTCCGGCCCGCTCAGGCCCGGGCCCGGGCCCGGGTCCGGGCTTGGGTTTTGCCCGGCCCGGGCCCGGTTTTCCGGGCCGGGCCGGGCCGGGCCGGCCCGGATGGACAGCCCTATGCGCACCACATGGGCAAATAGAGTAGATGATCCGTTCAAGACCCTGACTCAAAATTGACTTAGGGAATCTTTTAAAGTAGCTTTACAAAAGTATATTTAAAAAGTAACTTTATTCAAGAAGAGTGACAATCTTTCTTATTTTTTCCAGTGAAGTACTCTCTCTTATACTCATCATACTACTCCTTTGCCCGGCGAGCGACCGGTCCTATGCCCGTCCTAAGACCATGGTCTCTTCAAATTATTCATGCAATTCTTTTTCTTTGAAGACCAAATGAGAGAGATAGAGAAAATTATAATCTTTTATTATCATTTTGCCATTATTGTAATGCAATACTTTAAAGAACTCGATTGCAGCCAGCTCCTTTTTATCTTTCAAATCGTATTTCTTTTCATTGAAAGGAATATGTTGGAAGTGAGGTTCTCTGACTAAAGGATCCAACCTCCAAATTTGGTAGGAAGGATAAAATTCAAAAAAATTACGTTATTCCCATATTGAATATATGGCGAACTCAAATACTTACTGGAACTTGGTAGTCTCCTCAAGTGCTTGACAGCGTATTTCAGGAATGAAGAACTTGTTTTCTTCGGGTCTAGTTTTATCAACATACAATTTGTGTATTAGGCCCTTTTTAATATATTCTTTGTGAGAAGGTATGAGCTCAAAGCTGGCTAGTACTCTTGATCGATCATATTCGTTTAATATGACCAACGAAGCTGATTTAAATAAGCTTATCCCATCATCCTTTAATTCTCTAAGGAATGAGAGCATTGCCTGATCATCGATCAGGTTCCTCTAATAACTGTTGAACATATCCTTTAATTTTATTTGTGTCTGATATTTAGAAATTTCAAACGTGAAATAGTTAACCAGTTCGACAAAATCATCAATTTTGATGACTGCTAGATCAAACGTGAAATAGTTAATCAGTTCGACTCAAGAATCAATTTCCTCTAGGATCGTTCTTAGATCTCTAAAGTTTGAACCCAAAGAATCTCGCATTTGCTCTTTTTGAGTTCTTAGTGCCTTTGACATAGTCAAGGTTGATTTACTCATAAGATTTTTCATGATACTTCGGCATCTATGGTATCCTTTCTCAAGGTCTTGAATTTTTTGATTCTTTTTCTTGATAATTTTTTCTAATGCTGATAAACACGCATTAGTATCTGCATTGAAAACTCACATTTCTTAGAGTTTCTTCGAGAGATTGTTTATAACAGTATAGTCTTCTTCAGGTAAATTGGTATTATATCAGTTTTTACTACTATTTCTTTGAACTAAAGAGGCTTTTTCTAATGTCCCTGATGAGCATTGGGCGCTTCTTAATCTAACTAGTTTTTTCTTCTGCTTCCCGCTTTGTTTTACCTTTAACAGGAACAAAACTACTAGTTGCCTCCTTTTTGTTGAGGGTCTCTTTGATGTTTAACGCACCTGATACAATAAGGATATTTATAGATGTTGTCAAGTGTCATAATTATTTTAATATACTAGGTTTAGATGAGTATATTTTCGTCTTCTAGGCTCCTCTACGTTTATTATGAAGTCTAGCCATCTCATTACCTCATTATATCCTTCAGTAAACATTTCCCTTGAGTAGTAAGAATCGGGCAATGATTTCAATGTCTTGTTCCTTAATATCCATGTTTAAATGCTTATTGAGGACTTGGTCATTTGTGGTATTGGGAAGTTATCTTACTTACCTTTTTCCTTTACCTCATTTTAAGGAGAAATCATCACCAATATTAGTAAATCCAAAAATATATCAAACAATATAAATATAGTTCTCTAATTTCATAGACCATCTAATTCTGCACACGTTCTTCTCAATTAAAGACTTGGTTTTCCTTTTGAGAAACTCTGCAACAGCTTGATTATCTGTTTCAATGATGAACTTGGATGATAATAAATATATTTTAAAGGAATTAAAGTATTTTTGAGAGCTACTAATTCCTTATCATATGTTGCATAATTTTTCTACGGTCTTTTAAATTTTAGAAAGCAATATGCACATATTTCATGCTCTAATTGGTTTCTCTGTTGTGGAATAACACAATGGGTAATGTTGGGTAATGTTCAGTGCGCCTCGTATGAGCAAATAAAGTAGATGACCGAAAGGAGACACGAACTAACATGGGCGCAAAGGATGTGGACCCCATTAGAGTCAGAGAACACAAACAAAATAAGCACATAGGTAGGGTTATCCAAACGGGTCGGCCCGACCCATCTCGGATTTCCGGGTCTAGGCCTGTCAAAATACGTAGCCCGGACCTGGACCTGGTTGCCCACTCGGGCTCCGGACCGGCCCAGATTTTTTAGTATTTTTTAATTTTTTTGCTAAAATTGATAAAAATTAGATTAGTCTTATTATATTTATATAAGTATGTATTAGTATATACTTACATATTAATATATAGATACATATTATATGCAAGTATATATAAGTATACATTAATGACCATATCATGCTATAGTTATATATAAAAAATATACAAGTATATACAATATATAAAATTAAAAATCGGGCTGGGCCGAGCCCGAGTCGAACTTCACCAACTCGGCTCATACCCATACCCGGAGCCCGACCGACCTGAATTATCTGAGCCTTATCCGGACCGGGGCCGGGCTCAGCTAGGTTCAAGCCAGACATCGGCCAAGAGCCCAGCCCTTGTATATTAGAGCATGATAAGTATGATATAAAATGCAGAAAAAACAATGCTTCTGCAACCACTCTGAACAATTAATAAACAACTAATAAAAAGTAATTCATGGTTCAACACGTATGCCAAAACCATTTGTCTTCATGCGGCGCTGGATGAGTCAAGATATGCATTTACTAGGATCCGACGAATCACATCGCTGCACTGCGCGCTAGTGTCCGTAGTACACCTGCTTAAGACCTATGCACCGTGTCCCGAGGACAATGCATCCAGTGCCCGCCAGTACATCACTGTCCCGTGAAGAATCTTTAAAACTAAATATAGACTAAATATCATAAAACCATCTTAACTATGGACGGTTAATTATCAGATAAACCATCATAACTTTCAAATTGTTAGAAAAGCCTAAAGTTAAGAGTTATCAGAAAACCATCTTTAATTTTAAGATTATCAGAAAAATCCCTCTAACAATTTCAGTTGCAATTTTCAAATGGATGGGTAAAAGTGCACGCCACTATTTTTACATGGATAAGTAAAATTACGCACTGCGATCTTTTCAA